TGACACAGCCCCAGGTGGGTGCTGGCCCGGCGTCCCTGTCCTCCTCACCCCCTCTTTGTCCCCCCTGCGCCGTCCTCCCCGCCCCCTCTCCGTTCCCCCGCCCCCTCTGTCCCCCACCTCTGTCCCCCCCACCCCCTTCCTGTCCCCCAACCCCCTCCCTGTCCCCCCAGCCCCTCCCTGTCCCCCCACCCTTCCCTGTCCCCCCCGCCCCCTCCCTGTCCCCCCCGCCCCCTCCCTGTCCCCCCCACCCCTTTCCTGTCCTCCCCGCCCCCTCTCTGTCCTCCCCGCCCCCGCTGTCCTCCCCGCCCCCTCCCTGTCCCCCCCGCCCCCTCCCTGTCCCCCCCACCCCTTTCCTGTCCTCCCCGCCCCCTCTCTGTCCTCCCCACCCCCGCTGTCCTCCCCGCCCCCTCCCTGTCCCCCCCGCCCCCTCCCTGTCCCCCCCACCCCTTTCCTGTCCTCCCCGCTCCCTCTCTGTCCTCCCCGCCCCCGCTGTCCTCCCCGCCCCCTCCCTGTCCTCCCTGCCCCCCCGCTCTGTCCTCACCGCTCCCTCTCTGTCCTCCCCGCCGCCTCTCTGTTCTCTCCGCCCCCTCTATGTCCTTCCCACCCCCTCTCTGTCCTCCCCACCCCCACTCTGTCCTCCCCACCTCTTCCTGCCCCCTCCCCCCCCCCCCCCCCCCCCGTGCCTGGGTGCCACCTGCGGGGCGCCCAGCACGCCCGCCCCTGAGCCGCGGACAGAGACAGGGTGTGGAGGGCTGAGGTGCCTGCCCGGTGGGTCCAGTAAATGGGGGCTCCCCCGCTGCTCCCCAGGACGCCCCGCAGGTCACAGCCAACATCACGGCATCGCTGCTGAGCGTCTGCGCGTGGAGCCGGACGGTCAGCCCCCCGGGGGCCGCGGACCTGGTCCTCTACGTCACCAGGTAGCCGCTCCTGCAGGCCGCCCCTGGGGCCGCTCCCGCAGGCCGGGCGGGAGGGCGGGCACCCCAGCGGGTGTGCAGAGGCGCTGGGCCCCACGTGTCTCTCTTCCGTTCCCGAGGTTTGACCTGGAGCTGCCTGATGGCAACCGGCAGGTTCGGGGGGTCACCCAGCTGGGGGGCGCCTGCTCGGCCTCCTGGAGCTGCCTCATCACTGAGGACACCGGCTTCGACCTGGGCGTCACCATTGCCCACGAGATCGGGCACAGGTACGTGGCCCCACAGCGGCCCACGCTCGGGCCCATGAGCTGACCGGCCCAGGAGGGGAGGTGGGGCTGGCAGGGGGCCCTGGATGCGGGGAGGAGCCTGTGCCTTTCCCCGTGGACCAGGGAGGGGGGCAAGGGCTGGGAAATGAGATACTTCATGATTACTGAACAACTAGAGGAAATTTAAAAAACACAAGCAAAATAAACAGCAATTAGAAACTGCGGTTTATAGGAAATTCAGGTAAAGAAAATCTAAGCCGCAAAAATTACCCCACCTCCCACCACACAGAGCATCTGTTCATAGTTGCTATTTCACTTCAGTCTTTAATTTACACACAGTTTTCTATTTGCAAAATTAGGATTATACTGCTTATTGGTTTGTTACCTGCTTCTCTTCTTTAATCCGCACCTGAAGATATGTTCTTATTGCTTTTTTATTTATTTTTATTTTTATTTTTTAAAAATATATTTTATTGATTTTTTACAGAGAGGAAGGGAGAGGGATAGAGAGCTAGAAATGTCGATGAGAGAGAAACATCGACCAGCTGCCTCCTGCACACCTCCTGCCGGGGATGTGCCCGCAACCAATGTACATGCCCTTGATCGGAATCGAACCTGGGACCTTTCAGTCCGCAGACCAACGCTATACCAACTGAGCCAAACCGGTTTCGGCTCTTATTGCTTTTTTAGACAGAGAGGAAGGCAGAGAGAGAAAGAGAGACAGAGAGAAACATTGATGTGAGAGAGAAGCATGGATGGGTTGCCTCCTGTACATGCTTCAACTGGGGGCTGAACCTGCAACCTAGTGTGAGCCCGGACCGGGAATCGAACCCAAAGCTTTGTGTGTGAGACCACACTCCAACCTCTGAAGCCACCGAAACAGCTGTTCTCTGCTCTTTATGCAACTACGTATTTCTCCCTCACCTTCCTCAGGCCTTTTACTTTTATTTTTATTTTTATTTTTTTAACATACTTCATTGATTTCTTACAGAGAGGAAGAGAGAGAGTTAGAAAAATCAATGAGAAACATTGACCAGCTGCCTCCTACACACCCCCTCCTGGGGATGTGCCTGTAAAGTACATGCCCTTGACCAGCATCAAACCTGGGACCCTTGAGTCTGCAGGCCAGCGCTCTAGCCACTGAGCAACACCAGCTAGGGCTCCCAGGCCTTTTATTTTATTTATTATTATTTTAAAAATATACATTTTATTGATTTTTTTACAAAGAGGAAGAGAGAGGGATAGAAAGTCAGAAACATCGATGAGAGAGAAACATCAATCAGCCGCCTCTTGTACACCCCCCACTGGGGATGTGCCCACAACCAAGGTGCATGCCCTTGACCAGAAATGAACCCGGGACCCTTGAGTCCACAGGCCGACGCTCTATCCACTGAGCCACACCGGTCAGGGCTCCAGGCCTTTTAAATGCCTAGTTACTTATGTAACTAGCCCTGCGGGTGTTCAGGTGGTTTCCAGGGTGACCTGCTTGGCGTCTGTGGGCAGATCTCTGCTCTTCCTCCCTCACCGACCTGGGCAGTGGGTCTTTCCTTGTGATTTCCGGTTCTTCGGTTAGGAAAGGAGGGCTCCCTCGCTGTAAAGCCCAGGTAGCCTGAGACTCCTTCGGTAAAAGATGAGTCTCTAGAGCATCGGCCTGCGGACTGAAAGGTCCCGGGTTCGATTCCGGCCAAGGGCATGTACCTTGGCTGCGGGCACATCCCCAGTGGGGGGGGTGCAGGAGGCAGCTGATCGATGACTCTCTCTCATCGATGTTTCTAACTCTCCCTCTCCCTTCCTCTCTGTAAAAATCAATAAAAAAATATTTAAAAAAAAAGATGAGTCTCTATTCTCTATCTTCCTTGCTCACCCGCCCCCCTTTAACCCCTCTGAAGGCTTCTGTGAACCCCCATCCCCATCTCTGTGGGCGGCCCAGGCCCCCAGAGGGCTGGAACTGGTACTCCCCCCCCCCCAGCAGTTCTGCATCTTCCTCTGCTCCTTCCCCATCACCGTCCCCGCCTCTTGTTTGGAGGGAAAGGCCTTGAAAAGCTGGGAGAGGGAGGGCTGCTCAGGGCCGCACGCCCGGACAGTACTGAGCCGTCACACGGCACAGTCTGCACGTGACAGAGCCAGCCCCGACCCGGAGCGCCATCCCTTCCCCAGACTCAGCTGGTTCTCTGCGGCCTCTGGTGCTCACCAACCGGCACGGGCAGGCGTGGGCGGGACACTGAGGCAGGGTGGCCACGGGACCCGTTCACCTGCGGGGTTAGCTGGTGGCAGGGCCAAGGGGCCCCTCTGGGGGAGGGGACCCCGCCCGCCCCCCAGGCCGCTCTCAGCGCCCCCCTTCTGCCTCCTCGCAGCTTGGGCCTGGAGCACGATGGAGCCCCAGGGAGTGGGAGCGGGTGCGGGCCCAGCGGCCACGTGATGGGGACCGACGGCACCGCGCCCAGCCGAGGGGGCCTTGCGTGGTCCCCCTGCAGCCGCCGGCAGCTGCTGCACCTGCTCAGGTAGCACATCCCCCGCCATCCCCCGCCGCCCCTGCACCCACCCCTCCATGCCACCCGCTCCTGTGCCGACCCTGAGTTCCCCCCCATCGCCCCCTCCCAGCACGCACCCACCTCTCCATCCCCTTCCCTCCCCTCCCCGAGTCCAACCTCCACCTGCCTCCATGCTCCTGATCCTTCACCTGCCCCCCCCCTGCTCCCCCTGCCTCCCCCTCTGCTCCTGCCCCTCCCCCTGCCCCCCTGCCCCTGCCCCTGCCCAGCCTCTACTGCTCTCAGAGCTGAGCCTTGTCCCGGCCTCGCCTCCGCTGCTGGTGGGGAACACGGGCTGAGAACTACCCCCCCCCCCCCGAGCCCACCCCTCCTCACCCCACCCGGGGCCTGAGCGGGGTCTTGTCACAGCGCAGGACGGGCGCGCTGCGTGTGGGACCCGCCGGGCCCGCAGTCCGGGCCTGCGGGGCGCCCTCCCCGGCCCCACCCTGGGCTGTACTACGGCGCGGACGAGCAGTGCCGTGTGGCCTTCGGCCCCTCCGCCGTGGCCTGCACCTTCGCCCCGGAGGACACGGTGAGTGGCAGGTGCTGTGCCCAGTCTCCTCCTCCCAGGGGCTCCCTGCCCACAGCCTCCCCCCGCACCCCCCCGGGGGCTGCCCCCCCAACCCCAGCAGCTCCCTCCGCCGGCTCAGGCCCCGGTGTGCGCTGTGGGCGCCCTGCACCAGGCGGTCGTAATTTGGGGGCAGGGACGCCATGTTGCCGTTGTGCCTGGGCCCCACCAGTAGGTAGAGCCGGCCTGGCCGGGCCCCGAGCCCGGTGGGACTGGAGGGCCGGCCGGAGGGGGTCCCGCGGAGCCCCACAGGCGGAGCCGGTGGCAGGAGGCGGGGTGCAGGGCCGTCTCCCCAGACAGACGCCCTCCCCACTGCGCCGAGGGCCGTGGGCGCCTCCTCCACAGGACACACAGAACATGTCTGAGCGGCGCAGGCGTGTGGGCCTCATGCGGTGGCACAGATCCTGAGTCACGTTACACGCCAGGACATTGTCTCTGACGTGGGAGTTTGTGATTTTCTTCTGAACTTAAATGAAATGGAAACATTTTCACGGCCACACAAAGGACGTGGGCACTGCCCCTGGTCCTGACGGACACGTCAGCCCCCCTCCCGCTACCAGGGCCACGGGCGTGGCTGTCGGTGCCCGCAGCGGGAGGCAGGGAGGCTGGGCCGGACCTGACGGGCCCGGGCCTGTGCTGGCACCTGTCTCCTCAGGATGCCTGCCAGGCGCTGTCCTGCCACACGGACCCCCTGGACCGCAGCAGCTGCAGCCGCCTCCTCCTCCCGATGCTGGACGGCACCGAGTGCGGCCCGCAGAAGGTCAGCCGGGAGCGTGGGAGCGTGGGAGCGTGGGAGCGTGCGTGAGTGTGGATGTGCAGGCCCCCTGCAGCCTGGCAGCTCTCATTCCTGAGCGGGAGGACACAGTGAGCCAGGGCGAGGCCCTGGAACTGTCCTTGGTGCCCGTGGGGATGGGGGTGACGCCTGTGAGTGGGAGTGTAGGTGGGTGGGGGTGTGAGTGGGGGTGGGGGTGGGGGTGAGGGTGCCCGCGGGGACGGAGATGGCTGTTGCTCCTTGCAGTGGTGTTCCAAGGGTCACTGCCGCGGCCTGGCGGAGCTGGCCCCCACGGGGGCAGTGCACGGGCACTGGTCGGCTTGGGGCCCCCCCAGTCCTTGCTCCCGCTCCTGCGGAGGAGGCGTGGTCACCAGGAGGCGGCAGTGCAACAACCCCAGGTGCAGGATGGAAGGGGGTGGGAGGGGGTGGGAGGGGAGGAGGGAGGGAAGGGGAGGAGGGGAGTGGGAGGGGGCTGCGCTTGCCCTGTTGGGGGTCTGGGGTCACCTCTCCCCTGTTTTCAGACCTGCCTTTGGGGGGCGTGTTTGCACCGGTGTGGACCTCCAGGCCGAGATGTGCAACACCCAGGTGGGCGGCTTCCTGGGCAGGGCTGGCGGGGCGGGGGGTGGGGGGGGAGAGGGGGGTTTGAACCGGAAACCTAGGCCTGTGCCCTGAGGGGAATCACCCCGCCACCTTGCGGTGTGTGGAATGGTGCTCCGGCCGGAGCCACTGGCCAGGGCGGACGGCCCCTGTGTTGGTCACGGCCATCACAGTGGTGTGAAGCGGGTTTGCACGTGTGAGAGCTGCCCTCCCCCTCTCCCGGCGGCCACTGGGGCCGGACCGGCAGGGAGCCCTCGCCTGGCCTGGGGTGGGGGAGGGGGTGTGCGGGCAGCCGAGGGCCGCGTCCTGCTCAGCGGTCCCCTCCGCCAGGCTGTCCCCTCCGCCAGCCTGTCCACTCTGCCAGCTGGTCCCCTCCGCAGGCCGGTCCCCTCCGCCAGCCAGTCCCCTCCGCCAGCCGGTCCCCTCTGTCAGCCGGTCCCCTCCGCCAGGCTGTCCCCTCTGCCAGCTGGTCCCCTCTGTCAGCCGGTCCCCTCCGCCAGGCTGTCCACTCTGCCAGCTGGTCCCCTCCGCCAGCCGGTCCCCTCCGCCAGCCAGTGCCCCTCTGCCAGCTGGTCCCCTCCACCAGCCAGTGCCCCTCTGTCAGGCGGTCCCCTCTGCCAGCTGGTCCCCTCCGCCAGCCAGTGCCCCTCTGTCAGGCGGTCCCCTCCGCCAGCCAGTGCCCCTCCGCCAGCCGGTCCCCTCCGCCAGCCGGTCCCCTCCACCAGCCAGTGCCCCTCTGTCAGGTGGTCCCCTCCGCCAGCCAGTGCCCCTCCACCAGCCGGTCCCCTCCGCCAGCCGGTCCCCTCCGCCAGCCGGCCCCCTCCACCAGCCAGTGCCCCTCTGTCAGGCGGTCCCCTCCGCCAGCCAGTGCCCCTCCGCCAGCCGGTCCCCTCCGCCAGCCGGTCCCCTCCGCCAGCCGGCCCACTGGAGCCTTTCTCTCCGATGCCTCCCGCTGCTCTTGGTGAAGCCTCGCTGGGCCTGCCCTGACGCCCGCCTCCAGGCGGTGCCGTGAAGAGCCCAGCCCTGACCTGAGCTTCGGGGCCTGGGCCTGGGCGGGGTTCTCTGCCCGCTTCCCTCTGTGCTTCCCTCTGCCCCCTGTCCCCACAAGGGCTCTGGAATTCCCCATCAGCAGAGACAGGCTCCTGCCACCCCCATTACCGAGCGGGAACAGGTGCAGCCAGGAGCCAGGCTCAGACCCTCCGCAGGCCCTCACCCTCAGGGTCCTTGCTGTCCCCAGGTGCAAGGGTCCCAGCCCTGGGCCCCTGACCTAGGCCTGTCCCCAGCCCTGGGCCCCTGACATAGGCCTGTCCCTGCCCTGAGCCCCTGACATAGGCCTGTCCCCAGCCCTGGGCCCCTGACATAGGCCTGTCCCCAGCCCTGGGCCCCTGACATAGGCCTGTCCCTGCCCTGGGCCCCTGACCTAGGCCTGTCCCCAGCCCTGGGCCCCTGACCTAGGCCTGTCCCCAGCCCTGGGCCCCTGACATAGGCCTGTCCCCAGCCCTGGGCCCCTGACATAGGCCTGTCCCTGCCCTGAGCCCCTGACATAGGCCTGTCCCCTGCCCTGGGCCCCTAACCTGGGCCTGGCCCTGCCCTGTCCGCAGGACTGCGAGAACACCCAGCTGGCGTTCATGGCCGAGCAGTGTGCGGAGACCGAGGGGCGGCCTCTGGGCCTCTCCCCAGGCAATGCCACCTCCTACCGCTGGGGCCCAGCCGTGCCTCACAGCCAAGGTGCGCCCGGGCTGCGGGGAGCGGAGCGGCCGGGAGGCTCCCGGCAGTGGCAGCAGCACAGGCCAGAGGGCGGGAGCGTCCTGGCTCTGCCCTGGGAGCCTGCTTCCCGGGTGGTCACCCTCCTTGCCCCCCCACTGCTCCACCCCTGCCCCTGCCCTGCCCCTGTCCTGCCCCGCCCCTGCGCCAGTGTTCCTGCCCCTCTGCCTTCCCAGGGGACGCTCTGTGCAGGCACATGTGCCGGGCCATTGGCGAGAGCTTCATCATGAGGCGCGGGGACAGTTTCCGGGATGGCACCCGCTGTGTGCCCGGCGTCCCGCGGGGGGACGGGGCCCTCAGCCTGTGCGTGCTGGGCCGCTGCAGGGTAGGCGTGTGCGGGCAGCGGGTGCCTCTCCCTCCCCTGCGGCCCCAGGCCTGTCCCAGCGAAGCCAGGCCCAGGGCTCTGGGGCGAGGCCGCGGGCGGGTCCCTGAAGCAGCCGCGGTCTGGGGGTGAGGAGGGGACACGGCTGACCTCGGGGTCAGCAGGGCTGGGAGCTGGGCTGGATCTGGGGCGAGCCCTGTAAGCTCCTCTCCCGAGGGGCCTCAGGCGCTCTGTGTGCGGCCCCCTGTCATGTGACTCGGAGTCGGGGCTGCAGCCCGGACTCCCCTCCGCCCCCTGCACAGACGTTCGGCTGTGACGGCCGGCTGGACTCCGGGCGGGTGCCCGACGTGTGCCAGGTGTGCGGCGGCGACAACAGCACGTGCAGCCCGCACAGCGGCTCCTTCGAGGGCGGAAGAGCCCGAGGTAGGGCCGGCCCCTTCCCACCCCCCAGAAGCCCCTGCGGCCAGAGCCTCGGCACCCCTGCCCAGGCCGGGGCAGGCAGGAGGGGACCCCACGTTGGCTCCGCCTGGAGCTTCCTAGCGGCCGCAGCCTCCGCCGCCCTCTGCCAGGCTGGGAGTCCGCTGGGGGCTGGCCTCCTGCCACGGAGGCCCGTTGGGGACTGTCCCGGGGCCCCTGGCCCTGATGTTCATAGGAGAGGTCAGGCGGTCTGCAAAGCCACTGCTCACGGGGTCAGCGGAGGACGGGACCCCAACTCCCTCTGGCAGGATCCATCCCCGCCCCCACCAGGGCAGCCCCCCCAGGTGGCCCCCACCGGCCGGGCTGCCCCCTGAGGCGCGCCTACCTGAGACGGCTTCACAGGGGCTGGCGCTGGTGAGTGCGTGCCTGGCACCGCCGCCGCCCCCTCGGTGCGGGCGGTGGCTCAGCTCTCGCTCCCTCCCAGAGTACGTCACGTTCCTGACGCTGACCCCCGGCCTGACCGGCCTGCACGTCACCAACCGGCGGCCGCTATTCACTCACCTGGGTGAGTGCGGGGGCCGGCTCCTCACTCCCCGTCTCCCTGGGGCTCTGTGTCCAGCGTAGCCCACACCTGACCTTTGAACCCGATTGGGGGCCTACCAGGGTCCCTGAGCTCCTGAACCTGCTGCAGAGCTTGCGTGGGGGTGCGTGGTGGGAGCAGGCCCGGTGCTCCCGGGTTCTGGGGGAGGTGTGGCGAGGGAAGCCTGGGGCGGCCCCCTGTGTGCCTCGGTGGGGCCGCTCCTGGGCTGGGACCGGAGGAGCCCGTCCATGTGAGGCCACGGAGACGGCTCCTGTTGGCCTTTCTTAAGCCAGGGCCTCTTCCCTGAGAGGGTGGTGCCCTCCGGGGCTGACGTGCTGCCGGCCTCACTGCCCCCAGCGGTGAGGATCCGCGGGCGCTACGTGGTGGCGGGGAATTTCAGCATCTCGCCCAGCACCAGCCTCCCGTCCCCGCTGGAGGGGCACCGCATCGAGTACAGGGTGCGGCTCACCGAGGACCGGCTGCCCCGCCTGGAGGAGCTGTCCATCCCGGGGCCCACCCAGGGCGACGTGGAGATCCAGGTGACCTGCCGGGCGCGCGGCTGTCCGGAGGAGCTGGCGCCCGGGCCAGCCATGCGGGCAGTGTCTCGGGAACCTGCGAGCACAGGAGGGGTGGCGAGGGGGCTGGAGGAAGGGGACCCCCAGGCAGGAAGGCTAGAGGGCGGGGCAGACCTCGAGGGGAGGCGGTCTGGCCAGTGCTGAGACCTGAGGCCTCCGGCTCGCCCCCTGTGGATGGGATCGCAGCCCTGCCGCCCGGGGGAAAGCCTGTTTACGGAGAGACTCGCCCCTTCCAGCCGCCCCCTCGGTCTCATCTCTTCTGACCTCGCCCCAGGCCCCGCTGGCTCCTCTCTGTCGGAGGCCCTGTCTCCCACCTCTGCTCCATGCCCACCCCTGCTCCACCCAGAGCCTGCGACCCCTTTGTGGCTGCTGTGCTCCCCCACCAGGCACTTCAGGATTATGTCACCACCTCACCCTCTGAGCTCCTGGAGGCCGGGACAGGTCCCCGCTGTGCCGTCCCCAGACCCTGGCGTGGGCACCTCAGTGGCTACTTGCTGAGCGAGAGGATGTAGGGCCTCCCGGGAGGTGGCGGTGGCAGTGGCCGCCAGGGAGCCCCTGGGTGAAGCCGGTGCGCCGCCTCCTGCAGGTGTACCGGCGCTACGGCGACGAGTATGGCAACGCCACCCGCCCGAGTATCACCTTCACCTACTTCCAGCCGACGCTGCGGGCCTGGGCGTGGGCCGCCACGCGGGGGGCCTGCTCGGTGAGCTGTGGGGCAGGTGAGGCCCGGGGCAGGGGGGCCCCAGCGTGGCTTGCCCCCCGCCTGGAGGTGGCCTAGCCCCCCGCTCTCCTGCCAGGCCTGCGGTGGGTGACCTACAGCTGTCTGGACCCGGCCAGCAACCAGCGGGCGGAGGCCGCCCGGTGCGCAGGGAGCCCGCAGCCGGCGGCCTGGCCGGAGCCCTGCACCCCCGGGCCCTGCCCCCCGTAGTGAGTGCCGCCTGTGGGCTCTCCCCTGGGCCGTGGGGCCCAAGCCGCCTGGGCGGGGCAGGGGGCTCCTGCGCGTGCTCTCGCGTGGCCCTGGAGGCCCCCTGGGAGGGCTGCGGAGAGGATGCTGAGCTGCAGGCAGACCGGCGCCGGGGACCACCCGGGTGCACCTGTCAGAGGCAGCCACGGAGCGGCTGATGGGACGTACCCGGCCGTGCCCGCCACAGTCGTGGGCCCAGGCAGGTGTGGTTGGTGGGAGCCTGACGCTAGAGGCAAGGCGGTCCCTCCTGGTGCAGGAGTCCTCAGACTCAGTGCAGGTGGGGGCCTGGAGAGCTGGGCAGGGGGTGCGGGGGGCTGGCTGTCCCTGTGCTGTCCGGGCCCCTGAAGGGACACAGGCCCAGCCCAGCCCCGGGCAGAGAGTCAGCTGGACAGATCTGCCGGCCCTCCCTCCCCTCCGCCCCCGAGCCATCCGGGAACCAGCAGGGGCCCTCCTCTGCCTCTCTCCCTCAGCTGGGCCGCTGGAGACTTCGGCCCCTGCAGCGCCGCCTGCGGGACAGGCCTGCGGGAGCGGGCGGTGCGCTGTGTGCAGGCCCAGGGCCCCCGCCTGAGGACGCTGCCCGCTGCCCGGTGTGGAGCGCTGGCCCCGAAGCCCACGGTGGTGGAAACCTGCCGCTCCCAGCCCTGCCCCCCCAGGTGAGCTGGGCGGGGCAGGTTCCCCCGCCAGGGCTTGTCCCTGCGCTGAGCCTGCCCCTCTCAGTGCCCCTTCCCAAGGCCCTAGCCAGGCGCCGCCCTCCGGCTAACAGGCAGTGGCGGCCCAGACTTAGGAGTGCCAACTCCAGATCCCCCGCCCCCGAGACCTGGGCCCCCCTCTCTGAGCCCCGGGGCCCGGCTCCGGCGGGACCGTGAGGCTCAAGTGAAAGCAAAGCCATAAATGCCACTTCTCATCGCGGCCATTACTGCCCTGTCCCGCTGGCAGCGGCCTCATTCTGATTTGCTGCTGACCAGCCGGGTGCCCAGGGCCCCGTTCTGTCTCTGTCCCCCGGGTCATGGTGGCCCACACGTCCGTTTCCCCTCCCGCGTCCACAGCAGACACAGCGACGACCCCGCTTCTCGCCACCCTCCCCCACAACCCCAGGCTGCGCTGCCTCGGGGCGGGCACTCTGACATGCTTCCCTTCCCTGACCCGCTGGGCAGTGGGAGTAGGGGACTGCCTGGCAGAGGCCCCTTCGCCCCCTGTGTCCGCCCGGGTGCCCAGCGCAGTGCCTGCAGCCGGTGGCCGGCCCTCAGGGAGAGGCCGGGTTGCTCCTTTGTGGGGCCCTCTTTGGGTTTTTGGGATTTGGGGTCAGGTCCTCCCTGCCCCGTGGCCAGGCTGCGCGGGCGGGGCCCGAGGCTGTCGTGTGCCGCCAGGTCGGGGGTGCCGGACGCGTGCTCAGCGAATCCCACGTGCGTGCGGGGGGCAGACGGCCCGGAGGCGCTGGTGACCGCCGGGCCCTGCCCCGCAGACCAGACGCCCGCTGCCCTCGAGCCCTGCGTGGAGGGGGCCTGTCCTCCGGGCGGGGGCCCGGTGAGTGTCCGGGGCTCGGGGTGGCTGGGCTCTGGGTGCTTGTCGGGCTGGGAGATGGGAGCCCTGGTCACCGCTGGCCTCCCGGCCAGAGTGAGAGGCTGACCTGGGGCCGCCTGCCGGAGCCCGGCCCCCGGGGAAGCCCCTTCCCGGACAAGCCGGGCTGAGGGGCCCGGCTGTTAGGGTGCTGCACGGGGGAGGCTCCCCCGGCATCCGGGGCTCGAGGCTGGTGCTGCTGCGTTCACACAGAGGCGCTGGCCAGCCCAATCCGCTGGCAGCTCTGGCTGCTCCCTGCACTGGGGGCCGCTCGCTGCACGGGAGGCCGCTCACTGCACTGGGGGGCTCTCACTGCACTGGGGGCCGCTCGCTGCACTGGGGGCCACTCGCTGCACGGGGGGGCTCTCACTGCACTGGGGGCTGCTCACTGCGCTGGGGCCCTGCTCACTGCACTGGGGGCCACTCACGGGGGCTTGGGGCCGCTCGCTGCACTGGGGGCTGCTCCCTGCTGCTGGGGGCTGCTCACTACACTGGGGGCCACTCAGCGGGGCTGGGGGCCGCTCACTGCATTGGGGACCACTCACTGCACTGAGGGCTGCTCACTGCACTGGGGACCACTCACTGCACTGAGGGCTGCTCACTGCAGTGGGGGCTGCTCCCTGCGGCTGGGGGCTGCTCACTGCATTGGGGGCCGCTCACCAGGGCTGGGGGCTGCTCACTGCACTGGGGGCTGCTCACTGCAATGGGGGCTGCTCACTGCACTGGGAGCTGCTCACTGCAGTGGGGGCTGCTCCCTGCGGCTGGGGGCTGCTCCCTGCGGCTCGGCCCTGCTCACTGCACTGGGGGCTGCTCCCTGCGGCTGGGGGCTGCTCCCTGCGGCTGGGGGCTGCTCACTGCGCTGGGGGCTGCTCACTGCGCTGGGGGCTGCAGGCCTGTGGCTGCACATCCACTCACTCAGCCCCGCCCACAGTGACCTCACGCGGATGCAGAGGCCAAGGCGGGTGTGGGGGCATCGGCATCTTGGGGGCCTGGAAGCAAGTCTCCCCGGGGAGGGTCAGCAGGGGGCGGGGAGGACAGCCCTGGGGTGCTGGTGACCACTTCTTTCTCCTGAGGGATTGGGGCAGGTGGGCGTGGAGGTCACAGGTGGGTGCCCAGACCCACCAGCTTGGTGCTTGCCCCCTGCAGCTGGAGCCCCAGCCTCGGGGGGAGGAGGCTGCACCCGCACCGGGCGGCCCCAGGCTGGGGGCTCGCGCTGCCCACGTGTGGACGCCCCTGGCAGGGCCCTGCTCCGTCTCCTGCGGCAGAGGTGAGGCCCCTGAACGCCCACGCTCGTTCGCTAGCTCTTGCCTGCCCACATCTGGCTTAGTTCTAAAACGCATTTGGTGGGTCCAGAAAATTCCAGCCGCGCGAGAAAGTGCCAGTGTACAAGGAGATTGGGGCAAAGTGCAGACAGCCTGTGACAGTTCAATGACTGTCCAAGAGATCGAGAAGATCGTAAACATATCGGCACCGAGAGCCTGTTTCTTCAGGTCCAGAAAGGCTGAGAGAGACGGCCCCACATTTAGCTCCGAGCTCCCGGCGCCAAAGCAGAGCGAATGAGAGATACACTGAGCCCATCAGCTCCCACCCGCTCCGCGCAACCTCGGTGCTCAGTACCACCTCAGGACTCAGTACCACCTCAGCGCTCAGTACCACCTCAGGACTCAGTACCACCTCAGTGCTCAGTACCACCTCAGCGCTCAGTACCACCTCAGCGCTCAGTACCACCTCAGCGCTCAGTACCACCTCAGTGCTCAGTACCACCTCAGCGCTCAGCACACCCTCCGCTCGCTCAGAACGGAGCCAGATTTCTTTGGAGGAAGTTTCCGGTGTGTTCATGATGAACACGGGAGGGGGTGTTTGTAGAGCGGTTCTCACACCGCCTGTCAGCAAACCTACTATGTGCCAGGCACTTTGGAACTCCCCTCAGAAGTCTGCATACATACCCCGCAAGTTAGCCATCGGTATATGAGAACCCTGAGGCTCAGAGAGGCCGGTCCTTTGTCCAAGGTCACAGCTGGTCGGTGGCAGAGCCAGCCTCGGCTCCAGCTCTCCCGAGAGCTGGCTCCTGTGGTCTGGCTGAGCCTCCTCCCGGGCCTGGGCCCCTCGTCCTTCCTGCAGGCCAGATGGAGCTGGGCTTTGTGTGCGTGGACGCCGCCCTGGGCACGGCTGTCCAGGAGGAGCTGTGTGACCCGGCGGGCAAGCCGGGGGGCCGGCGGGAGGTCTGCCAGGCGGCCCCGTGCCCGGCTCGGTGAGTGGGAAGGAGACTGTGCGGGGCAGCAGCTTGCTCCCCTCCTGCCTGGCTGTGGTGCCTGCGGAGCTCCGGCCTTTCCTCCCTGCCGGTGGGAGGCCCGCGCCTCGGTGCCATGCCCGGTGACCTGCGGGGTGGGGGTGGGCAGGTGCCGCTGGCCGTGCGCTGGGTGAGGCTGGACCGTGGACGCTCCGTCCCCCGGCCTCACTCCGTACTGGCCAGCGCCCCGGCCCGGCCGCCTCGGGAAGTGCAGCCCGGAGCCCTGCCCCGCCAGGTGGCCCTTCCCAAGGAGGGGGGGGGGTCCGTGGGGCCGTGGGTAAAGCGCATGCACGGGTCCGGGGTGCTGTGGGCACCCGTGGGGGCGGCTTATTTGGTCACCGCCTGCTCCTTCCTGAGCACCCGCTGCGCCTGGCACTGCTATGGCACCAGAGGTCCCAGCGGCGAGCCCGACAGCACCTCTGCCTCCCGAAGCAGAGGCTGGGCACGGGCCGCGGGCGATAAGTCAGACAGACAGGGGACGGCCATGACGGGTGGTCACTGTGCCACGTGGCCACGGCAGCAGGAGGCTGTCCGGGTGGAGAGGCTGGGACTCCCTTTGGACACAGACATCTTAGCAGGACCAGGGTTCCCTGCCCCCCCTCTCCCCGCCTTTGGACACATCTGTTTCTGTCCTCCTCTTCCCCTTCTGTAAAATGGGTTCTTCTGACGCTCTGTCCGCGGTGCCAGCCCCTCGGTGCAGACATTGGGTGACCCTCCAGAGAGAGGGCCTCTGCAGGCCCTGTCTGGAGGGGAAAGGAGGGCCCCCGGCTGCTCGGGTCCTCCCCTGACTCCGCTCTGCCCCAGGTGGCGGTACAAGCTGGCGGCCTGCAGCGTGAGCTGTGGGGGTGGGGTGGCGCGGAGGATCCTGTATTGTGCCCGGGCCCACGGGCAGGACGCGGACCAGGAGATCCTGCCGGACACCCAGTGCCAGGGCCTGCCTCGGCCAGAGCAGCAGGAGGCCTGCAGCCCGGAGCCCTGCCCACCCAGGTCAGCAGCCCTGGGGGGTCCAGCCGGCGGCCTGAGCAACATCGGGTGCAGGCGCCAGCCAGGGGCCATGGGGACGAGGGATGGCTCCGTGGCTCAGGGCACAGTCCTCAGGAGGCGGGATCACCTGGCAGGCTGCGCCAGGCGCCAGAGATGGCGACCAGCCGTGCACAGGCAGCGCCGTGGGCTCTGATGGGGTGGGTGTGGGCAGTGCTGGGCCCACGCTTCACTGGGTGAGGGAGGCAGAGGGTGCTCAAGCTGGGGCGGGGGGTTTGGGGGGTCCGAGACCAGGCTGGGGCCGAGCACCACAGTCACAGAGGGCAGAGGGTGCTCAGGCTGGGGCGGGGGGCTGGGGGGTCCGAGACCAGGCTGGGGCCACGGGAAGAGCACACACTCCCCGCCTCGTCCACAGTTCCGTGGTTCCTCATCGCACTTGTGCATTTTACTTCGTTTTAAATACACTCTTATTCATTGCAGAGAGGAAGGGAGGGGAGCGAGAGAAACCTCCACGATGAGAGAGAATCATGGATCGGCTGCCTCCTGCATGCTCCGCACTGGGGATCAACCCGCAACCCCGGCCTGTGCCCCGACCTGGAATCAAACCCTGACCTCCTGGTTCATAGGTCGAGGCTCAACCCCTGAGCCCGCCGCCGGGCGTACTTGTGCATTTTAACGTGGAGCTTTCCCAGGTCGTACGGAAAGGGGCAGGTGTAGTGGCTGCCCTTGTAGTGCCTGGGACCTTTCAGTCCGCAGACCGACGCTCTATCCACTGAGCCACACCGGTTTCGGATCTGCTTTTTAAAAAAATATTTTATTGATTTTTTTACAGAGAAGAAGAGAGGGATAGAGAGTTAGAAACACTGATGAGAAACATCGATCAGCTGCCTCCTGCACACCCGCCCCCCCCCCACTGGGAATGTGCCTGCAACCAAGGTACATGCCTTTGACCGAAATCAAACCCCGGACCCTTCAGTCTGCAGGCCAATGCTCTATCCACTGAGCCACACCGGTTTTGGCTGCTTACTCTTCTTTAAGATAGGCTTTTATTGATTGTTTGGAGAGGGAGAAGAAGAGGGAGAGAGAGAGGGTGAGGAACATCCGTCAGCTGCCTCCTGCACTCCCCCGACTGGGGCCGGGGCGTCTCTCCTGCAGGTGGAAAGTCATGTCCCAGGGCCCCTGCTCAGCCAGCTGTGGCCTCGGCACCGCCGCCCGCGCCATAGCCTGCGTGCAGCTGGACCGCGGCCGGGACACGGAGGTGGACAGCGCGGCCTGTGCAGCCCTGGCACGGCCGCGGGCCAGCATCCCCTGCATCGTGGCCGACTGCGCTTACCAGTGGCGCCTCAGCCCCTGGACGGAGGTGAGGCCGCGCTGGGGCGGGTGTGCATCTGGTGAGGGTCCTCACGCGGGAACCCTGGGACCATCCTCACTGTGACGCCCCGAAAGGGGAGGGGGGGCGGGGCGGCCGGGCCCCTAGGGAGGAAGACAGCAGGCTGGAGGCGTGGAGGGCAGCGGGCCTCAGAGCCCGAGGCCGCAGACACAGGAAGGCGAGGGGCAGGCAACCCCATGCCCCAGACAGGCAGGTGCCACCCCGGCACAGCACCTCGCCAGGCACCGGGAGACAGCGGGAAACAGGGCTGGGCCTCCGGGGCTCACTCATCGTGTAGAGAAAAGGCAAAGCAGAGAACTGCCTCCAGCCCGGTCAGAAGGGCCAGAGCATCAGCCAGGGAGGAGGGCTCAGGAGGGCAGTGCCAGGAAGGAGGGCAGGGCGGACGGCTGCACAGATGGGGGTGGGGGTGGGGGCAGCCATGTCTCCTGATCCCGGCTCTAGGGTCTGGAGACGCAAAGAGGCCTCGAGGGTGGCAGGTGGGGATGTGAGCTTGAATCCCTGCTCGTGCTCCGTGCTGTGCGAAGACTGGTCACGCCTGGCCCCGCCCCCGTCCTCCTCCCCTCTCCCTGCAGTGCTCCGCCTCCTGCGGGGACGGCGTCCAGCGCCGGCGCGACACCTGCCTGGGACCCGAGGCCCAGGGGCCTGTGCCCACCCACTTCTGCCAGCACCTGCCCAAGCCCGCCACCGTGCGGGGCTGCTGGGCCGGGCCCTGCGCGGCGCCGGGGACGCCCGGCCTGGAGCCCCGCGAGGAAGCCGCCGCGCCGGGACCGACCACGGCTGGCCCTGCCGCGGCTTCCCCCGAGGAGCCCCAGCCCCGGGCCCGCCTCCTCTCCCAGGACAGCCCTCCGGGGCCCGGTACGTCCCTCCCGCCTTGCTGTCTGGGCCGCGGGTGCCGGAGGGTGCACAGCCGGGACCCCTTTCCACACGGCCCGCCTCCCGGAGCGTCCCGAATGGCTCTGCGCCCCGATGGTGACATCGGCCCCTGCAGCCACCCCCTCACCCGAGGCGGCTTCCGGCTGGGCCTAGGAGGGCAGCAGCCCTCCCCCCGCCCCCACACCCCAGCCTCCTTCCCGCAGGGAACACCCAGCCCTGCCCTGGGAATGCCCCCATGGCAGCTCTGCCTCCTGGCCCTTGTCCAGGTCCCTGTGGCCGGCAGCACCTCGAGCCCACGGGAACCATCGACCTGCGAGGCGCCGGACAGGCTGACTGCGCAGTGGCCATCGGGCGGCCCCTGGGGGAGGTGCTGACCCTCCAAGTCCTGGAGAGCTCCCTCAACTGCAGCGCCGGTGGGTCCAGGCCCCGAGGGCCGTGCGCCCCAGGGTCTGCTGCCAGCCCGGACGGGGCACAGGGGAGAAGGGGGAGCTGGCCTCACCGCCCGCCGCTTCCAGGGGACATGCTGCTGCTCTGGGGCAGGCTCATGTGGAGGAAGGCGTGCAGGAAGCTGTCCGGCCTGACCTTCAGTTCCAAGGCCAACACCCTGGTGGTGACGCAGCGCCGAGGGCGGCCGCAGGGCGGCGTGGTGCTGCGCTACTCCAGCCGGCCAGCCCCTGGGGCCTCGCACAGAGGTAGGCAGGCACCTAACCCTAACCCTAACCCTAACCCCGCTCCCCCTCGCCCCCCAGTGGCTGGCTGGGCTGTGCTGCTGCCAGCAGGGTGGCGGGCAAGGCAGACGGAGCCGCACCTTTCTGGACACCCCCACCTCCCCCCCACCCCATGTGTGCCAGGGCCAGCCTGCTGAGTGGACAGCATGAGTCTCAGGATGTGACCCTTCAGCGAGATGGGCAGATGGGGCTCCGGGCACACCCTCTCCCCGTCCCTCAGCCCCCACAGCCCCAATGTGCTGGCCCTCGGGCCCTGCAAGACCCTCTAGGGCCCCCTCCCTGCCAGGCCCTGTGCACACGCCTCATCCCGGGGCTGTGCGTTCCCATCCGTGTCAGGCTGGCCCTCCCAGCAGCCCCCGCTGGCTGAAGGCACTTCCCTAGCCAGTCCCAGAGGTTTCCGCCCACCCTCCCACCCCGTCTCACCAGGCCCAGGTGAGAAGAGGGGCGCTAGAGACGTCTCTCTCCAGAGACCTGAGGGGCCTCCCCTACCCTCCACGCTCAGTGTCCACGGGCGACTGTCCTCCCCCCCTCTCGCCGCTCCTCACTGCCAAGCCGCCCACATGCAGGCGCCCCCCGGGGAGGCCCCAGGGTGCCGGCAGGAGGCCCTGCAGCGGGAGTCCGTCCTTGTGCCAGGCTCGGCGTTCAGCACGTTTGACTGTGCTGAGTCCCCAAACCGCTCCGCCCCGTGTTTGCCCTCCTCCCCTCCACGTTAAAGGGTGTAAAGCCTCGGCCTGGGATTGCACCTTGGGGGGTGGGGTTCAGTGGGGGCTTCTGGCGGGGTGTCCCGGCCTCGGCCGCAGCGCCCTCTGTCCCCCTCCCTGCTCGCAAGCTGTGAGCGGCGCTGGCCCCTGGCCTCTGGCAGTGGGGTCTTTCGGGGGCTCCTGCCTCCTGGGCCACACCCAGTCCCCCCACCCTCCGCAGAATGTGACACGCAGCTCTTTGGTCCCTGGGGAGAGATCGCCAGCCCCCCGGCGAGATCGGACGGGAGGAGCGTGGGGGGCTGCCGCATCTTCATCGACGTGGCTCCATGGGCCCGCATCGCCATCCACGCCCTGGCCGCTGGCACGGGCACCGGGGCCGATGAGGCCAGCTACGTCTTGGTGAGGCCCCACGCGGGCGACAGGAACGGCTGGCTCTGGCTATGGGCTGGACAGCTGTCCCTGGGGGCGAGGTCCGGGGTGCTGGGGTAGAGGACCCCCCCGAGTCTACTTCAGACCAAAACCTTCCAAACTTGGTGAAGGAATGGGAGAAAGCTTCCTCCACGTCCTCACCAGCAAACGTGGATGGCGCCCCACGGGGAAGAAATAGAAAAGACCTTCCCATGTGCACAGCCCTTAGCCCAGGGCTGAGGCGGAACCTTAGAGCCTGGCACGACTTTGCCAGGAGGGCAGCCCTCCCCTCGAGGTTCGTGCATTTGGGAGGATGCCCTCTGCCCAGTATCAGCTCCTCTGGATGAGGCGGCCTGACCTGGAGCAGAGCAGACCTGGGCCCTGTCCCGGCTCAGGCGCCCTCACTGTGAGGGGTGGAGGGAGGGAGTGGCGTGGGCTCAGGCACCCTCCCTGAGCCTCTGCGCTGTGCCGGGGTGAGTGATCGTGCTGCCTCAGAGGCTGGGGTGGGTCTTTGTGTAGCAAGGGCTCCCTGAATGCCGGCTGGTCTTCATCTGTGCCCTGCCTGTGGGGCTGCCCCTCCTCCCAGATCCGGGACATCCACAGCCTGAAAACGACGACGTTCCGCGGGCAGCAAGCGCTCTACTGGGAGTCGGAGGGCAGCCAGGCGGAGCTGGAGTTCAGCCAGGGCTTCCTGGAAACCCATGCCCGCCTGCGGGGCCAGTACTGGACACTGCAACCCCGAGCGCCCGAGCCCCGCCCCACCCCGGCCTAGCCGCCCCTCCCAGCAGCCCCGCGGGTGCCCGTGGGGAGTGCGGGAGGGAAGCTGACGTTGATGAGCTGCCGGCTGCCTGGCCGGCTCCGGAGAGCTTCCCAGCCTGAGCCCCTCCGATCGATCGCCAGCGTCACCGTTAGCGCCTCCTCCAACGGGCTCGGCGTCAGGGGCAGCCTCTGGGGCAGCCCAGCCCGGCCGGTGCCAATAAAAAGAACCTGCGGTCTGCCGGGCGTTTTCTTCACAAAACCGTCCACACCTGCACACCCGCCCCACGCACGGCGGGATCCCGGCCGCGGTCGAGTTGCAAACCCGTTCCTGACCTGATCAAACCTCTCACCACTCCTAACGGTGTTCTCCACCCCGGGGCAGAGGCGATGGGGTGTGCATCACCCCTGGGCGCTGATCCCGGCTCACCTGCTCCTTTTCGCCAAGTCCCGCCCCTCGGCTGGCCCATTGGGCGGATCTGTCCACCTGGGCGTCCTGCACCGCCCAAGCCACGCCCTCTATGCTAATGAGCGCGAGCCCCGCGGGCAAACCTGTTCACAGCCCCGGAGCCCCCGCCCCCTATGCAAATGAGGACCAGCGCGTCGGGCGCTACTGGCCTGGGCCCTGCAAGCCTCGCCCCCTATGCTAATAAGGCCGCCTACCCACAAGGCAGCGCACCGGCCAACGCGGCCGACTCCGGAGCCCTTTGTGAGGGCGGCGGGCCGCCCTGGGTAGCGGCACCATGAGCGGCTCCGGCGGGGCGTCAGCGACGTCCGCCAACTCCGCGCCGCCCGCGCAGGACGAGGGCATGACGTGGTGGTACCGCTGGCTGTGTCGCCTGTCCGGGGTGCTGGGGGCCATCTGTGAGTACGCGGTCCGGGCGAGGGGCGGCCCTGCCGCCCACTGCGCACGCGCGCCGGCGGGGCTGGGACCTGGGCGGGGGTCCGCGGGCATGCGCGGGCGGGGGCGTGGCGAGCGGCGCCCGGGCGGTTGCTATGGTTACCGGCCGCCGCGGGCTCCTGGGTTTCCGGGCTGGGCCGGCGGCTCCGGGCCGTTCCGGGAGGGAAGCTGAGCGCCGGGCGCGGGGGCAGGTCGCGGCCCAGGTCGGGCCCAGGTCGGAGGGCGGGGGAGCAGTGCGCGCCGGCCGGGCTCCGAGGCCGCCCCACCTGTGGACTTTGTGGGTGGACGCAGCCGCCTCGCCTTTGGGCGAAGGCTGTGAGCGGGGCGGGTGCTTCCTGAGGCCGGCGCTGCGGGAGGAGCGAGCTGAGGGAGGCGGCCCGCTCTGCCCGGCCCGGCGGCACACGCCCGCGGACCTCGGCTCCTGGGACAGGAGCGGGTTTAGCACAAGCCCCCGGAGAGCCTTCCTGGGAAGGCCGTCTGCTCCAGCGTAAAATCAAGACCTGTGGCAGGTCTTCCAACAGCGCATACACGCCTGTTTGAATGGCCCGCTGTCTTCTTCCTGCTGCCCTCAACACTGGGTGAGGGGGTGGGAGAGGCGCAGCGGGGGTCCGGGAAGGAACCGGAAGCCTGGCACAGAGGCTGGGGTCCGGGCAGGGCAGGCCCCTGTCAGATCTGCCAGGAGGAACATTTCCAGCGCCCGCTTCCAGCCCCACAGCCCCCCCAGCTGGTGGCTGGGGAGTCAGGGGTGCAGGGTTAGGACTGGCTGCCCTGGCCCTCCCCCAGATCACAGGCGGCCCGGGTCCCCTTCCTGCTCAGCCGGGCTGTGGCTCTGTAGAGAGGCCAGGGGGCTTGAGGTCAGGCCTTAGATTCCATCCCCTCGAGCTGGAGGAGCTGTTTCCCTGGCGGATCAGAGGGGGTGCTCCCTCCTGGCGGCGGGGAGCCTGGTCCTCCCCAGGCCTGGCTGCAGCAGGTGAGATGGAGAGGGAGGAGGGGGGCGGGAGGAGGGGGGTGGGAGTGGGGGGTGCATAGCTGACAAGCACAGAGCAGTGTTGTCTTGTGGGCACTGCGCTGTGGCTCTGGGCACCCGGCCTGAATGTGTACGGGGCGTGCCCAGGACAGGAGGGAAGTCTGGGGGCACAGGAGGGCAGCCATTGCGGCTGGGCTCACCTGCCCGGTCCTCCTGCCCCCGCCTGCATAGGGTTACACGGGAAAACTGGAATTCCAGCCGCGCCGGGCGCCATGCAACTTTAATGACCTGGCGCTGCTGGCTGCTTCAGGGGCCTTACCAGCTATGGCGCCGCTGGGCCCTGGACCTGCCTGGCAGGCTGCCGGCGTTCCTGGTGAAGCTGTGGAGAGAGCAGGGTGCAGAGCGGAGGGGTGGGCAAAGCTCCCCATTGGGGGCACCCGAGAGGCCACTTCCAAGGGTAGAAGAGGGTGCACCCTCACATGACCCCGTGCCGGTCCGGGTGGGGGCTGGGCGTGAGACTGGCTGTGCAGGAGAGAAACAGGCCTGCGCGGTGAGGACACCCGGCCACGGCCCTGGCTGGCGAGGATGGAGCTGGGATTGGGACCCAGGCCTGCCTGTGCTGTCCTCAGCGGCCGTCTCCCCGTCCCTCCTGCCGCTAACCCTGCCGTGTCTCTTGCTTCAAGCGTGCGCCATCTCGGGCCTGTTCAGCTGCATCACTATCCACCCTCTGAACATCGCGGCGGGCGCGTGGATGATGTGAGTAACACGCCTTCCTGCGGGGCTGGGGCCACCGTGCGGACCTCCTCCCCCTCCTCCCCCCCTCCTCTTCCCCCTCCTCCTCCCCCTCTTCCTCCCCCTCTCCTCCTCCTCTTTTTTCTCCTCCTCCTCCATGCCCCTGGCTCGCCTTTCCCGAGCCCAGTCAGGGCCGGGCCTGGAACGCCCACCCCGGCCTGTATTGGGTGTAATGTCTATAACATCAGACTCCTGGGGCTCCAAATCCACGGCCATGGGCCTCGCTCGCCCTGGGAGCCCCGAGGCCGTCCCGGCCCCATGACTACGCGGGAAGGAAGGTTTCTGACGGGTCTCAGTGGGTGCTGGGATCAGGCGGTCCTGCCCCAAGGGGCCGGGCACTACAACGCCTGCCAGGTTCCTTGCCTGCCTCCTACAGGTAGCTGGGCCCGTGGGAAGGGCAGGGCGGGGTGAGAACAGGGCAGAGCAGCTCTGGCTGCATCTGACACCCCCAGGCACTTGCCCAGGGAGGAGGGGGGAGGGCTGGAGGAGGAGGAACGCAGAGGTGGGCAGACACCCGCCCTCAGGGGCTCAGGCGTGGTGAGACTGGGTTATGGCGCTGGAGCCTGGAGTTGTGCCGGCTGAGGCATGGGGACGGGGACGGGACAGGCCCAACCGGACAGCCTGGTGGAAGAGGTCCTGGACCCTGGGGGAGGAAGAGTTGGCCCAGCACTGTGGAGGGCACGCTGGGAGGCCTGGCTGTGTGGGCGGCTGGGGTGAGGGCAGTGCGAGCTGTGCGGAGTTCTTGCTCTGGCGGGCCGGGGGACTTCGGGTGCCCTGAGCCTGTGTTTCTGCCAAATGAGGGCACCCAGGGACCTTCCCCAGGCCTGGAGGTGGACAGAAGAGTCCACGGTCTGTGCCTGACCCAGCCACAGAGAACACGAAGACTGAGTGTGCAACCTCAGTACCCATGGCCAAGCGGTCCCAGCCTGACATGGCTGAAGGCCTGCTGTCTCAGCCTGGCCACGGGCTGGAGGCCTGGCTGTCTCAGCCTGGACACGGGCTAGAGGCCTGGCTGTCTCAGCCTGGACACGGGCTGGAGGCCTGGCTGCCCCAGCCTGCACACGGGCTGGAGGCCTGGCTGTTTCAGCCTGGACACGGGCTGGAGGCCTGGCTGCCCCAGCCTGGACACGGGCTGGAGGCCTGGCTGTCCAGCCCGGATGAAGGGAAGACCCCGATTCTCACTCGGGCATTCCATTCAGTTAGGGGCTCAGGGGACGGGGGAGGGAGACGTAGGCGGGCCCAGCGGTCACCACACTCCCTCCCGCCTCCAGCACCAATGCCTTCGTCCTGCTGCTCTGCGAGGCGCCCTTCTGCTGCCCGTTCATTGAGTTCGCCAACACGGTGGCGGCCAAGGTGGACCAGCTGCGCTCCTGGCAGAAGGCCGTCTTCTACTGCGGGTGAGGCTGTGGCTGCGGCCCCGCTCCCAGGCGCTGCCCGGCGGGGGCCTTGGTGGACGTTCCACCTGGGGTTCCTCTGGGCATCGTGGCCACCGATACAGAGGGGACCCGCCCCCCGCGCACGGCTCCGCGTGGTGTGTCCCAGAGGCAGGGCCGTCGGCGGGACCGAGGCAGGCCATCGGGACGTGCCTGCCGGTGTCTGCACCGCCTTCCCGAGCTGGCCGCAGGCCCAGCACACGCTCCAGGCGCTTCAGACACTTCCTGAGGGCGCTGGCTGCAGCTGTGCCACATGCGGAAGCTTCTAGCACAGTGCCCGCGCCTGCGCGCTCCGCCGCTGCTGGCGGCAGCAGGCAGGCTTGGCTGGCTGGCTGGCCTTTACGGTAGGCGCGGGGCGTCTGTTTCCAGGCTTCCTTCCCGCCGGGAGTCCCGTCCCAGCGCCACCCGCCCTGAATCTAAACACGGGGCCACGGACACTGCATCTGCGTCCTTGGCCCTGACCTTCGTTCTGTGAACGTCAGCCGTCATGTGTGTTCGTTAGAGATAATGTGGGGAGTAGGAGATTGCTGCCCCCAGCCTGCTCCCTGTGGCCATGGTGACGTGTGTCTGTGCCTTCAGATGGTGCGATAAACCTGCTGGTACAGCGACAGCGGTGGGAGCAAACCTGCTCCTGTGCTTTTAGAGTTAAACACGACGACATAAACGTCCACAGGGTCACCACAGGCTCCCCCAGGTCACCTTTCCCTACAGGATTGCTCTTCAGCTGGGCATGCGCTCCTGCTGCTGTGAACGTGGTCTAAACCGACCTTTGACCTTCGCCAAAACTTCCTGTGCTGAAGGTGATGGCCTCAGGACGCATGCCCAGGTGTGGGGGCCCTGGGTCGGGGTGCACTCGGTTAGAAGGTCTCGGGGGCCTGGGCTACTTTGCCCAGAGGAGCGTGACTGGCTCCTCCCGCCCACCCCCACGCTCTGCACCGTCCCCACGTGGTGTCTGTCCTCTGAGGCGAAGGGTTTTCCACGGCCGCGAGGGTCCACTGCACTCTTAGCTGTTGGCATCTCGGTGTTCCCCTTAGTAGGTCCTGTGTGTCTCTGTATTAAACTTCCTCAATCCTTTGCCAGATTACCTGCCAGTGTTTGCCTAGTCTGTTGTTTGCCTTTAATTTTATTTCGACAGATGTCCCCCGGTGGTCTTTCTGTTGTAGTTTCTGTTGTTCCTTTATCGCTTAGAAGTTTCGTAACTACACCTGGCCCTTGAAGAACGCGGGGGTTAGGGGTGCCAACCCCATGCAGTCAAACCCCCTCTATAGCCTTTGGCTCCCTGAATACGGAAGTGTTAGAGTCTGCTGCTGACTAAAAGAAGCCTCATTGGCAACATAAACAGTGGGTTGACACACATTTTGAATCTTACAGGCACCATATACTACATTCTCACAACAAGGTAGGCTAGAGAAGAGAGACATTACAATCCTAAGAAAGATGCCTGGCCGGTGTTGCTCAGTGGTTGAGCATTGACCCATGAACCAGGAGGTCAAGGTTCGATTCCTGGTCAGGACACATGCCCGGGTTGCAGGCTCCATCCCCAGCGGGGGGCGTGCAGGAGGCAGCTGATCCATGATTCTCTCTCATCATTGGTGTTTCTATCTCCCTCCGTCTTCCTTCCTCTCTGAAATTAATAAAATGTTAAAAGTCATAAGGAAGAAATAAAACGTATTTAAACGCACTTTCAGCTCTTGCACGTTTATTGGAGAAGGCTGTGCCTGTGCAGTTCAAACCGTGTCTTCTCCTCTGTGCTTACCCTGTGGCGGGCGGTGGGAGCGTGGGCAGTTCGTCCAGGAAGTGGCAGGACGGCCCGCTGGTCCAAGTCCCCACACAATCTCAGTCCCACCCTCCGGGGTCAGCCCCGCGGATACTTAAGCCCAAGGGGACACCTGCCGCCAGGTGGCGCCAAGCTGTAGTCAGGACTAGAGAGGACAGAGCCGGTGCTGCCTGCCCCACCCGGGCCTGGCAATGAGGCCCAGGCCTCGTGGGTTCCACCAGGGCTCGGCCTTGCCCTGTGCAGGCCGTCCTGTGCGGTGGGAGCCGCATTTCCTGAGAGCTGCTGTCCCAGCGGTGTGAGCTCCGCACATGCCTGGCCTCGCTCAGCCACTAAGCCTCTGAGGTTTGACCCCCACCCCACCGAGAGACGGAGCCTCAGGTGAAGCAGGCCGCCCACAGGCACAGAATCACAGGCACAGAGCCGCCCACAGGCACAGAGCTGCCCACAGGCACAGAGGAGCCCACAGGCACAGAATCACTGACACAGAGCAGCCCACCGCCCACAGGCACAGAGCCCACAGGCACAGAGCTGTGAGGGACCGAGCAGACAAGACGTTTCCTGGTGCCTGTTTGTATGGATGGGGGCGGGTGGGCCATCTCAGTGCTGTTGAGCCTTTTGGGGTCCCAGACCTTTCAGGAATCCGATGGCGATACCCAGAATTGGCAGACAAGGTCATGTGCGTTGGAGGACTTACAAGGCCTGATGTGAGCCCCCCTCCCAGCTGACTTCTGGGGACCCCCTTGTACCTGGTGGTCAGGGAGGGGCTAGGTGGACGGGGGAGCCTGGAGGTGGTGGCATGTCCCGTGACCTCTGTGACCTCTGCCTCTCCCTCAGGATGGCCGTCGTCCCCATCATCATCAGCCTGACCCTGACCACTCTGCTGGGCAACGCTGTCGCCTTCGCCACCGGCGTGCTGTACGGACTCTCCGCCCTGGGCAAAAAGTGCGTCCACCCGTCCCAGCCTGCCCGGGGTGCCGGGGGGGGGGGTCTCTCCTCCTGCCCCCAAGCCTCAGTGAGGAGGGTCTGGCAGGGGCCCTGGTGTCCAGTTGTGGAAACGGAGGCACAGAGGTGGTCAGTGAGCCGCCAGCATCTCCAGGGTGTGCAGTTCCAGGGAATGAGCAGGTCCGTGAGGCCTCCTGAGGGTCCGCCTGTGGCCGGGATGGTGGACAGGGCTCGTGAGAGTCTCCCCATGCAGGCCCCCCGGCTCCGTGGCAGGGTGACAGGGATGACAGGACACGTCTGCCATCAGCACCACGCTCTCCGGGGGAACCCGAAACCGGGAGGCTGTGCCTGCAGTCACCGTGGGGTTCCTGGCCGGGAGGGCATGTGCCTGGAGCCTGTTCCCACTGTGACCCTGCCTTGCTGTCTCCCCAGGGGTGACGCCATTTCCTACGCCCGGATTCAGCAGCAGAAGCAGCAGGCTGACGAGGAGAAGCTCACAGAGACTCTGGAGGGGGAGCTGTGATGCGGTCCCCGGGTCCTCCCCACCCTCTCGCTCCTCAGGTTTTGCGTGAGCAAGTTCAAGAGGACGGGCCCTGAAGCATTGACCCTGGGGGACAGCCTGGAGGAGGAGGCATTGACCCCGGAGCACAGCCTGGAGGAGGAGCATTGACCCTGGGGGACAGCCTGGGGGAGCATTGACCCTGGGGGACAGCCTGGAGGAGGAGGCATTGACCCCGGGGCACAGCCTGGAGGAGGAGCCTTTACAAGCTCCCATCAGCTTCTCTGCACCTGTCCCCACACTGGAGCCCTGCCTGCCCCTCTTCCCAGTTTGCTGTCTCCTGGCCCTGAGCTGATGCCAGGGCCAGGGCTCTGTGGCCTTGACAAGCAGCAAGGACATGGGCATGGCCAGCCTTGGTGAGCCAGGCCATAGGACTTGGGCTCTGCACCAACAGCCCTCCTGGCCCCACGGCAGCCTGGTGTGGCTGGAAACAGGCCTCAGCTGGACGGCTTCCGCTGGCAGAACCACGGGGACCAGGAAGCCTGGAGGAGCCCTGGTCCTGTCTCCAGCAGCCGAGTGAGCCTCCTCTCTGCTCCCCAGGCAGGAGGCCTCCGGGGGGCTGGGCCCCTCTGTCCACCCAGTGGACAGAGCAGTGGCGGAGGGCTGTCTGCTGCTGCCCATGGCCCCGGCTACGGTGCTCCTGGCTCACTGGAACAGCAGCCTCGGCAGCAGCCGGACAACTGGTGGGACTGGTGCCTCCCCCAGTTCTCTGGGCCTCAGACAGACTGCTCCAGGGGGCAGCCCACGGCCTGGCTGAGCCCACGCTCCCCTCCCATCCCCTGGTGCTGGGAAGTGGGCTCCTGCCTTGTGTGCAGGCCTGAGCTCGCCCCACCCTGGTATCCCTGCCGGCCGGCCCAAGCCTTGTGAGAGCTGGGCAGATGGCTGTCCCCACTGCCCCGGGTGCCAGCCCGCCAGGGGCAAGGCCTGGGCAGGTGGAGAGCTGGAGCCCCGGAGTGGCTCTTTGGGCCCTGTGCCCTGGTCTCCTGCAGGCTCCTTCCACACCCGTGCCTTCCTGTGCCCGTGGCCCAGCCCCCTGGCCACTCTGCCCGCTGGCCTTCAGCTGTTGGGCATGTCTGCGGGGCCTGGCCGCACCGGCAGAGTGGGCAGGTGTGGGGAATGCTCCGTCTGGGGTCCAGCTCCTGCTGCTGCTCCTCCAGGGCCCAGGCCCCCGGCCGGGCCTGTTCTGAGCTCCCAGCCCAGGATGGTGCTTGGCTCTCGGCTTCCCAGGGTGTGGCAGTCCTGCCTGGGGACATGCCCGTGGGCCGGTCAGCAGCGTCCCCAGCAGCCCGAGGGGCTGAGCCAGCGCCCTGCAGGCCAGTGTGGAGGACACGTGCCTTCAGGCTCCTCTGGCCACCCTCAGGCCGGGGCTGGGTCCCAGGCCTCCAGGCTGGTGTGTGTGTGTGTGTGTGTGTGTGTGTGTGTTCCACGTGTGCCGTGAATAAGACCTGTCTACCTCCCAGGAGGAGCAGCGGCTCCTGATCCAGGAAGGGGGTTGTGTCACTCCTGCAGCTTCCTGTCGGCACAGGGAGCTCGCCCACGGGCTGTGTGTGGAAGGGAGCCTGTACCTGTGCCCTGCGGGGCTCGCGTGGGTGCTGGGCGGGCTGTGGGATTGGGAGATGGGGCAGGGCCCTCCGCCCCTCCACACACAGGCCAGAGCGGGCGGGCACTCGCCCCAGGTTCCCAGCCAGTGGCCTGTCTTCGGAGGGTTCCGCCTGCAGGAGTCTGTGCAGCGCAGAGGGGCCGCCACAGGCCCACGCCCGCCTCCCGTGTCTGGATCTGCCTTCTGGCCTTTGCTTTCTCTGTTTACCTTGACTTTGGAGCAATAAAGCCTGTGGTGGTTCGTATGCTCGGCTCTGCCTTGACTGAGTGGGGGGGATGCCTGGACCCCAGGGGTGCTCTGGCCCGGGAACAGCTGCTCTTTATCCCGAACCGGACCGGCTGTCCGCCAGCTGAGCGCCCGAGCCCCACGGCTGGAAGTGTGGGAGCCTGGTGGCAGGGCCGACCGTGCGCCTCTGCCTCCCTGTGGACGGGGTGGCCATAGGGGCCCCCCAGGCCCTGGCAGCCTTGGCTGAAAGGTGGTGTAACCCCCACCAGAGCTCCTTCCACTCAGGGTCACAGTCCAATTTCTTTATTGTTGAAGTGGGGGCACGGTTTGCAGACAGGAGTACCCCCACCCTCGGTTCCGGGCGTCGGGACGTGCGGGTTAGTGTGTGTGCTGGGTCTGACCCTGGCTTGCGAGAGTCTGCCGCGTTGCCCAGGGTGTGCCACAGCCCTCGGGTGCAGATTCCCGCCTTCCTCCCAGGCCGAGGTACTGGGTGGCAGCCAGGTGCTCTGAGCCATTCCTCTGCCTCCAGCTGTCTGTCCTCACCAGCCTCTATGCGTGAGTAAGCAACTCTGCCTGAGGTCGCCCAGGGTGGCCCGAGGCCCCAGGCCCGGACAGATGCTCCCTGGGTGCGTGCTCCCCTGCGGGGCACAGCTGCCTCCTCTGCCGGCAGGTCCTGGCCGGCGTGGGGGCGGCCACGCTGCCTGTGCTGGCCGCCGGGTGCCGGGAGGCGCGCCCTGCGGGTCGGTGCTGCCGGCGGTGCTGTGTCCGGCCGGTGGCAGGTTGCCGCGGCCTCCTGGACTCGGGGTTGAGGTGGGCGGCCCACAGGAAGGCCTGGCCGCCAGCGTGCGGCCCTCCCCGGCGGGGCCGGCCTACTGCAGGAAGGACCTCCTCCCCGTCCGGAAGAAGGACTCGATCTGCTCCAGTGAGCGGCCCTTGGTCTCGGGCACGCAGCAGCCGGTGAACACCAGATTCAGCAGGCAGATGGCGGCGAAGAAGAAGAAGGGCACCTGCAGGCTGAAGGCGTCCTGGGGGCGGAGCGGGGCGGGTCGCACGGGCACCGAGGCCCTCCGCCCCGCGCGAGCTTCCTCCCTGCTAGCCAGCGCGCCCTCGCCGCCGTGGGGCCTGCACCCGCTCTTTGCTCAGAGATCTGGGGCTCCCCCTGCCCGCAGCCTGAGATCTAGGTAAGGTGACCAGACGTCCCGCTTTGGGCAGGACAGTCCCGATTTTTAACAATTTGTCCCATGTCCCACGGCGTTCGGGACTTTTTTAAAACGCCTCAGGACGCGGGGACAAATTGTTAAAAATCGGGACCCCTGGTCACCTTACTCTAGGCCTTAGGGGGCAGTAGAGGCTTCAGAGACCTGCCCCCAGCCTTCCTCTGTGCGGGCCTGGGACGTCCTTCCTGCCCGGGGCTCCCTCAGCCTGCCCTGCCGGCCCTCTGGTCTCCGCCTCGCCAGGCAGCCCCTCCCCACCCAGTGCCGCTCTTACTCTCTCTGCAGCTCAGGCGCCTGCCTGCAGGGAGCCTCACCACAGCCGGGAGCGTGCGCCTCCCTCCCTGTCCCATGCCCGTCTATGCCTCTGCCGGAGCTGGCACACCCGCCTCCCAGCCGTCTCACCCATGCTGGGTCCAGCCCTGCCTGGCCCCGGGTAGCACTGCCAGAGCGCCCCCTCAGACTCTGCCCGGGCGCTGCTCGGGTGCTGGGGCTCAGATCCCCCTGGCACCAGGGCGTGGCAGGCCGGGAGCCATGGGGGGGTAGGCCAGGTGGGCGCCTGTGTGTGGCAGGCAGGATGCTGCGTGTGGCTTCCCAGAGGGCACATGGCTGAGACCCAGCCTGCCCGGCAGGCCCAGCGGCCCTGGAGGGTGACAGAGCGGGCGGGTGTGGCTTCCGGGCAGAGGTCAGCTGACTTCCCAGAACCGCTCCCGGCCCGCTGTCCTCCGTCCTGTCCCTTAGCGGCCCCTGCCGCGTGGGCTGCGGCGTGGAGGGCCCGCGCCCGGCACTCACCACCACCAGCAGGAAGGACTCGGTGAGGGCGAAGGCGGTCAGCCAGCTGACCAGCACACAGAGCCCCGAGGCCACGCCGCGGGCCCGCAGCGGCAGGATCTCAGACATGAGGAGCCAGGTGATGGGCCCCCAGCCCATGGCGTAGCCTGTGGGGGGGGCAGGAGGGCAGCTCAGCCCCACGGAGGCGGGGAGCCTCCCCCTCCCCCAGCTGCCGAGCCCCCTCCCAGCCACCCCCATAACCAGCGCTGCCCTGCCCACGACACAGCCACGCCCCCCCAGGACAGCCCTCCGCCCCGGCCACACCTACCCGTGATGAAGAGCATGGTGGCCAGCAGGGGCACCAGGGTGAGGAGGCTGGTGGGCGCGGCCAGGGGCTGTGCTGCGCCCCCCGTGGGCACGCTCTCGAGGCCCGCGGTGGTGTTGGGGGTCCCGTGCTTGGGGACGAGGCTGATGTACAGCCCCAGCGTGAGGTTGGCCACAAACATGATGGAGGCTGCGGACGGACAGGTGGCCCTCGGGGCCGGGACCCTCTGAGCCCCCGTGGCCCCCTCTCCTCCGGCGCCACCGCGGCCCACGGGGACTGGTCTCCCACACTGGCAGCTCCCCGGGTTCGGACGTCCACCACCCCACACGGGGTGCCAGCGGGCCTCTGGGGCAGCTGGTGCGTGTCAGGCCCTGTGCCCGGGGTGGGAGGCAGGGGCCACCAGGGCAGGTCTCACCCACGCCCCTGGAGCCGGCCACATGGCTCCCACGTTGAGCGGCACCGCCCGGGGCAGCTGCTGACGCGGGGGCGGGGGGGAGCTCACCGGAGACGAAGAGCAGGACCTTGCGGCCGGCCCGGTCCATGGTGAGGGCCGCAATCATCACTGCAAAGAGCCTCACGGCGCCCACAATGGCGGCGTCATCCTGGGGGGGCTGCAGGGAGGAGGCCACGGGGTGAGGACCCGCCTGCTTCCCCTCCCCGCCACCCAAGGCAATAGGGTGCTCAGGCCCCACCCATGGCCCCGCTCCTGGGAGCATCGAGCCGCTGAGCACCCACTTGTGCCAGCCTTTCTCTGGCCCCACCGGCCTGGGGCCTCTCTGGCAGGCCGGGCCCGGGCCTGACCATGCCGGTGGGACTGGCTGTCACTCAGCTCAGGTCTCGGCTCCCTCTGCTAGGGCAGTGGTTGGCAAACTTCGGCTCGCCGCTCTGTTGACTAGTGAGTTTGCCTACCACTGGGCTAGGGCAAGGGACACTTTTCTTTAAAACCCGGGAGCTTTACTTGCAAACGTTACTCTGAGAACGGGGTTATGCACCGAATCCGTTACCAGCCCAGGAGGCCTCCACCTGCAGCCCTCATGCAGCCCCTGCGGGCGCCGGGTGGGGGTGGGCGGGCGCCGAGTGGAGGCGGGCAGGCACCAGGTGGGGGTGGGTAGGCACCCGATGGGGGCAGGCGCCAGGTAGGGGAGGGCAGGCGCCGGTGGGGCAGTAGGCACCGGGTGGGGGCAGGCACCGGGTGGGGGCAAGCAAGCGCCGGTGGGGGCGGGCAGGCACCGGGTGGGGGCGGGCAGGCGCTGGGTAGGGGCGGGCAGGTGCCGGTGGGAGCAGGCGGGCGCCGGTGGGGGCGGTAGGCATCAGGAGGGGGCGGGCTCGGGCTCGCTCACCAGCAGGACGGCGGTGCTGGTGAAGATGGACTGCAGGTAGACCAGCACGGGCGTGATGCCCGTCAGCTGCTGCAGGAAGCGCATGAGCACGGCGATGGCCACGGGGCGGTACACGTGGGGCTCCCGGATCTCCGCCCAGGACACGCGGCTGCTCTGGAGACACAAGGCGCTGCTCAGGGGCAGGGCCGGCCCCTCCAGCCGTGCCACCTAACGGGACTGCGTGGAGCTGGGGGGGGGGGGTCCCTGCTTCCCTCCTCCGGGGAACAGCCCGGGCGGGGGCAGGCTGGGGGACGCCTGCCGGTCAGGGCAGAGGTCTGCGTGGCAGGCCCTCCGGGTCCCCAGCATCCCCGCACGGAGCATGTGCTCGGGTCAGGCGGAGGGGGGAACACGGGACCCCCGTTTTCGGGAGAAGCAGTGATGCTCAAAGGCACACGGCTGTGGTGGCAGAGGAGGGTGGGTGGGTGCCCCGCCCCCGCACCTGTCTCCGCACGTTGTCCTGAATCTGCTGGAACTCCCAGCGGATGTCGGCCTGGGCCCCGCGCAGCCAGGCCAGCGCCCGCAGCGCCTCGGCGTCCCGGCCGCGTGACAGCAGGAAGCGCGGCGAGTTGGGCATGAAGCTGAGCAGCAGCACCATGACGACCACGGGCCCCTCGCCGGCCACGGCCAGCCAGCGCCACGGCAGCAGGAGGCCTGGGGGGAGGAGGGGGGCGCCGGGGTGCGGCTGGGCGAGGAGCCCCTCCCCTGGGCCCTGAGCACCCTCACCGCCCTCCAGGCCAGTCCCAGCTGCCTCCGGTGGGTGTTCTGCCCCCTCAGCCCAGGCCTCTGTGCTCTGGGTCAGGAGGGGCCCAGGGATGGCCTGGCCCCCCGCCCGGGGCCCAGGAGGGTCTCAAGGCCACAGCGGGGCGATGGAGGGGTGGCCTGAGCTAGAAAGCGCCCTGGCCTGCACCCCTCCCCCTCCCCGTCTCAGCCAGCTGCCCTGATCCCCCTTCTGTGTGGATCCCGCACGGAGACGGCTGGCCCAGACCCACCCCTGCCCAGGGAGGGGGGACTCACGGCCAGAGGGGCAGGGAGCGGCCTGGGGAACACTGTGGTGTCTCTCACCCAGCCTGCAGCTCATTTGGGGGCACATCCCTCCCCTCCCCCCCGCCTATCCTGCACAAGGAGGTGCCGAGCGCTTGTCTCACCGAGTGCGTAGAGAGACATCGACCCGAACACGGCCATGAGCTGGGGCGTGGCCCCCAGGGCCCCGCGGACGCCAGGGGGAGCGATCTCCGACAGGTACACCTGCAGGACGACCCCCACCCAGCCTGCGTGAGGACTGGCCTGGCCCGGCGGCCGCGGCGGCCATCCCTGCCAAGAGGGAGTGGGTTCCCGGTGGGTCTCTTGTGCTGATCATGGCCCACCTCATGCCCTCCCTGGGCCTCAGTTTCCCTAGCTGTCAGGTGGGCAGGAGCACTCAGCTCGGACAGGGGAGTGCGAGGCTCCGGTCTCTGCTCCCCCTCCCCTCGGTGGGCCGGCCCAGCCCCGGTGGGTATGTGGGCAGCTGCGGGTAAGACTTTGGCCAGGGCAGGGCCTGGGCAGGGACTTCCCTTTCCTCCCCGTTGCTCAACGTGGATTTTCTCCGATTGAGTAACGTGTCTGACTGTCAGGAAACTGGGTAGGAAGTTTGGGGAGTCCGAGGGGGGGAGCTGGGGACGCGGGGACAGGGGGCCCTGAATGAGCTGCAAACACCCCCATGGATGGGGGGGGGGCTGGTCCGGCGGTGCTTGGGGCCTCGCAGGGCCTGGCCGGCCGGCCTTACCGGGATGCAGGCGGCCGTGAGCCCTCCGGCGAAGCCCGTCAGCGTCCTCCCCAGCAGCAGCATCCAGAAGGCGCGGGCGCCCGCCATGAGCGCGTAGCCGGCCACCGAGGGCACGGCCGAGAACATGATGCTCAGCTTCCGGCCCAGCAGGTCGTTGAGGACCATGGCGCTGAGGCCGCCCGCCGCGGCGCCCAGGGTGAATACAGACTGCGGAGAAGGCGGGAGGCGTGGTGGGCCCGGACGCTGCTTCTGCGGGACCCAGGCCCTCAGGGCAGGGAGCCTCCCGGCGCCGAGGTGTGCGAGCAGCACGTGGACGGCGATCGTCAGAGACACCCCGCTCCCCCGCCCCGGAGTCCTGCTCTGCGGGGAGGGGCTGCCCAGCCTGGCGGGGCCGTGTCTGATGCTGGAGTGGAGCAGAAGCGAGGGCTCTGGGTCGGGAGCCCCTGGGATTTTAAGGCTTCGGGGGACCCTGGATTCCCGCTCAGCACAGTGAGGAGGACGCCAGAGTGAGGCGGGCACGCTGCTCCGTCCGTCCGCGCCCGCTTCTGCCGCCGTAGGGTGGGAGAAGGATGGCAGCCACCTCAGGGGCAAGCTCTCACGGCAAGTGCCCAGCACAGCACGCACTGGGTGGCTCCGTACCCAGCGGGCATGCTGTCTTAGGGAATATGTTGTCTGTCCTGTGACAGCCCAGCTCCGAGGTGGGGGGTGGGGGTGGGGCGGGGATCTGGGAACCCTCAGCCCACGGGGTGGAGACTTACAGGCGCCTCCCACCTGCCCTTCCCACGCCTTCTCCATCGCCTTTCACTTCCCCCTTTTATTTTAGAGGCACCAGGGGCCTCCCTCCCCCCACCCCCAGCCTGGAGTGTGTGGCAAAGGAGGGGTTCGAAGGCTGAGGGTTGGGGGGTGACCCTAGCTGGGGATAGAGCTCAGGGGGCCCCTCCACCCTCTGCCCCGTCCATACGAGCTTACCCCGAACCAGGTTGCCTGGGTTTGGGTGAGGCTGAGGCTTGGGTCCGAGGAGTGCTCCAGGGCCGGGATGACGGGGGATGTGTAGACCAGGGCGTAGCCGAAGCTGAAGTTGCCCAGCACCGCGGCGAAGGTGGCCAGGAACACCCACTTGTTCTGCAGGGCGCTGGGGGCAGCGCGGGGGCGGGCAGAGAGGTTGGGGTTTTGAGTCCCCCCTTCCCAACCGCTGCCTGTGCTGACGACGTAGAGGCAGCGCTGGGGAGGGCTGGTCCAGGCCCGTCAGACTGGCACCTCCAGGGTCTGGATGCCAGCTCCCCGGGGAAGGCCCCGCGGCCCGTGGCTGTGGCTGTGGCTGTGGCTGAGCCACGGCCGGTGCACGGCCGGTGTCTGCTCTCGGCTTTGCCCCCCAGGCTTGCTGTGTGACCTTCGGCAGGCCCCGGGCCCTCTCTGGGCCTGCCTCCCCGGTCTGTGCCAGTGGGGGGCCCGGGCCTGGAGGGCGGGGAGGGAGGGGAGACGCGCCACCAGCTCGCTAGGTGGGACCACCTGGGGCACCTGGCCCCTCCGAGGCCCACGGCGGAAGCCAGCCCCGGCCGCAGCCCCCTGCCCGGCAGCTCTCACCCGACCCGCGTCCTCTCCCCGGGCGACGGGGGCGGCTTCTCGGGGAACGTGTCATAGTCCGGGCCCTCGGCGCCCAGCAGCGGCTCCTGCATGGCCCGCGCCGCTGTCACCCCGAGCCAAGCCGGCGTCTGGCCGCAGCGGCTGGAGCATCCGGCCGAGCCCGCAGCCCCGCCCCCGGCCGCGATTGGCTGCGGGGTGGCCCGAAGCTCCGCCCCCGGTCTCGATTGGCTGCGGGGCGGCCCGCAGCGCCGGCGCCGGCCAATAGGCGGCCGCGACGGCGAGGATGCTCGGATGCGGCGCCGGCGGGCTTCCCCGGGCGCGGCCGGGGTGCGGGTGCGGGTGCGGCGCTGGGCCGGGCGGCGGGCTTCCCCGGGGCGCGGTCCGCGCTTCGTGCGCCCCTGGAGGCCCTGGGGGGGGGCGGGTTCGGCCTGAGGATGGGGATCCGCCCCCGGGGAAGCGGCTGGACCTTCGTGCGGGGCCTGGAGGCCGAGCCCCGCCGGCGCCTCCGTGCGGTGTTGGGGTCCGAGCCGGCACCGGGGCGCACCCCGCGCCCACCCGGAGCCCAGGAAGCGGGAGCCCGGACAGCAGAGCCGCTCCCAAGGTCACACCGCGAGCCGCGGCTCCTCTCCCGGGGCCCCGGGCCGCCTTGCACCCGCGCCCTCCGCTCCGCGCGGCCCCTTCCCCCCGGGACGCGGGGACACTGCTGACAGCGAGGCTCTGGGGTCAAGGCAGAGGGAGGGAGGAAGGTGCCCTTGCTCTGGGGCCCCAGCACCCCATGTAACCTTCTATTACCCCGTTTCTGGTCTTTTCTGCTCTCAGAAATGGGCGGGCTCGTTGGAAGCAGCCAGGTGATAACACGAGACTGTTTTTTGTTTTTTTTTTAAATATATTTTATTGATGTTTCACAGAGAGGAAGAAAGAGGAATAGAGAGCTAGAAGCTAGAAACACCGATCAGCTGCCTCCTGCACACCCCCCACTGGGGATGTGCCCGTAACCAAGGTCCATGCCCTTGACCGGAATCGAACCTGGGACCCTTCAGTCAGTAGGCTGTCACTCTATCCACTGAGCCACACCGGTTTCAGCAACACGAGACTTTTAAACACACGCCGAGCAGAAATGAAAATTCCCTGGAAAACCACCCACTGCAGAACACCCCGCCGTGGCCGGCCCCGCTCCCTCTGGACTGCTCAGAGGGGGCTGCCTCTGGGCCACGCTGCCCCAGGGAGGGCCCACAGCGGGCATTTTAAATGGACCCGTTGTCGAGCATTTGGGTTATTTCCAGAGGTTCCCTATCAAAGGAGTGCTTTAGGAAGTGTGTCCTAGTTCCCTATATCATTAAAGAAACAGCCGGAACCTGTTTGGCTCAGTGGATAGAGCGTCGGCATGACTGAAGGGTCCCAGGTTCAATTCCAGTCAGGGGCATGTACCTTGGTTGTGGGCACATCCCCAGTGGGGGGTGTGCAGGAGGCAGCTGGTCGATGATTCTCTCACATCGATGTTTATAGCTCTCTATCCCTCTCTCTTTCTTTCTGTAAAAAAGAAATCAATAAAATATATTTTAAAAAAAGTTGAAGCCGAGACCGGTTTGGCTCAATGGATAGAGTGTCGGCTTGGGGACTGAAAGGTCCCGGGTTCGATTCCGGTCAAGGGCATGTACCTTGGTTGCGGGCATATCCCCAGTAGGGGGTGTGCAAGAGGCAGCTGGTCGATGACTCTCTCTCTCATCGATGTTTCTAGCTCTCTATCTTTCTCCCTTCCTCTCTGTACAAAATCAATAAAATATATTTAAAAAAAAAAAGTTGAAGCCTTTCAATCATGCATTATTTAAAAAAAAAAATATATATATATATATATATATATACACACACACACACACACACACACCAGTGTCCTGGTGCACAGATTTGTGCACATTGAAAGGAAATTAATTAGAAGAACTATTTTAATATCGCTATTTTCGTCTTGCTAATGTAAAGAAAATAGGATTCCACCGAGTCTCCTATCTCCCTACTCCAGGACTCTGTGAGGATCAATGAGATGAGGCACAGGAAAACGCTTCACAGACATTTGGTTAAAGTAAAATGTTTCCACCTGGCTGTAAAGCAGGTCGTGTTCCTGGGCTGAAGAAATTGCAAGGAGGCTGGTTGGTAGGGAGAGGAAGCTGGGCTACGTGATGTCATTACCCAGTGCCCACACCCATCGTTTCAGGGCTGGGCTGGGCTGTGGGCCTCATTTTGCAATACGGGGTCTTGGTAGTGTTGGCTGCGATCTGGTGGGGTGTTGCTCTGGGGTGGGGGTGGGGCCTGTGTCCCACTTGGGGTTTGTAGTCTGCCTTGCCATTTCTCTGTCAATGGCCGGGGTGTGTCATGGCAGATCCTGCGTTGAGTGTCTGCCCCCTGGTGGTCAGTGCATATCACAGCTACAAGTTGAATGGACAGACCCTTAGCCTTTTATATATATAGATTGATTTCAGAGAGAGGAAGGGAGAGGCAGAGAAACACCAACGGTGAGAATCATGCACAGGCTGACTCCGGCACGCACCCCCCCTCCCCCAGGGATTGAGCCCACACCCCGGGCAAGTGCCCTGACCGGAATCAAACCTTGACCCCCTGGGTCATGTTCACGGGTCACCCCTCAGCCACACCGCCGGGCCATTTGTTTGCTTGAGAGACATGAATGCACGTTACGTGTGGAGGCTGAGGAGTGCTGGCAACTGTGGAAGCCAGACCCTGCCCCCATCGAGATAGAGGACGTTCCATCCACCTAGAAGGTTCCTCTGTCTCCCCTTCCCTCCCCCTCCCCTCCCCACTGGCTGCAGGCTGGCTCTCTCCCTCCTGGAGGCCAGGGGGGGAGCCGCAGGCCGAGAGCCCCTTTGCCTGCCTTCCCCTCCGTGTGTGCTGCTGGGGGGCGGTCCCCTCTCTGCGCGGTGGAGGCAGGCACAGTGTCCACCGCCCCTGGTGGCAGGGGGCTCAGCCCCAGGCCGGCTGGAGGAGGAACGTTGGCCTGCCCACCGCGTCCGTGGCCTGTGCTCCTGGCTCTGGGAGGGAAAGTGGACGAACCTGGGTTTGTCAGGAGCCTCCCGTCTGGCATCAGGGCGGGTCCCCCACATTCACATGGAAAAGCAGCCGTCACAGAGCAGCTCTGTCCTGGGGGCGGCTGCCCGTGGCAGCGACCATCTCCACGGTCCTGGGCTGTCCTCACCTGCCCATCCCACCGGCCTGGCCGCCCCACCGGCCTGGCCGCCCCACCGACCTGCCCATCCCACCGGCCTGCCCGCCCCACCGGCCTGGCCGCTCCCCTGGGTCTGCTCTGAAGAGCTATGGCAGCGGCTTCTGGGCCAGGGTGTGTATCAGGCTCCTCCTCGCCCCTCCCCTGCGGTGCGCAGGGGTGCGCAGGGGGTGCCGGAAGCTCCTTGCCCATTTGAATCCAGGGCCCTCCCATGCCTGTTGCCTCCCACACAGAGCTGGTGTGCCAGTGGGGACGCGTGGCTCTGCACTGGACACACCCACGAAGGGCCTGGGCCCCTCCCTTCCCCACCTTGAGCCTCAGCCCCTCCCTCCTTCAAGAAAGCGCCCTTCGCTCACCAGGGGACAGGCAGCTCAGGGGCAGCTCGGGGGCAGGCCCCTCCCGGGACGGGGAGCCCAGGCTGGGAGGTGAGCATCCTGCAGACCCGGGGCCTGGGGAGGGGCTGGGCCAGGGCCAGCCTGCTCCCGGGTTACCCCATCCCCGCGTCCCTGCTGGTCCAGGGCATGGAGTGGCGAGGATGCCCGGGTCTGAGCGCTGCCTCCGGGCACAGGAGCTCGGGAAGGGCTCTCCGGGGTTCAGGGCGCTGCCCAGCGAGCGGTTCTCAGAGCCTCACTTTTCTCACCCGGAAGATTCCGAAAACCTGGTGCCCACCCTTGACCCAGCTCCTGCTGCAGAGACCTCTGTTGGAAACTGGCGGAGCTGCATTCCAGGCCCTGGTACTGGGCGAGAGGTGAGGCGTGGGAGGGGATGCCAGGGACCGGCCTGCCCCTCGCCCCGGGCCCAGCAGCCCCTTTCAGAGGCGACACAAGGCTCAGGGAGTCCAGTCCCCTTCCCCCTCCCTCGCACCCCCCTCCCCACTCTTATGGTGCCCGAGGGCTTCCCTCCGATGAGGATGGGAGGACAGCAGGGGGCGGGGCGGGGCTGCCCCTCACCTTCTCCTTCCACAGATGGGCGGGCCGGGGCCCCTGGGGGAGAAGGTGTGCAGGGCCCAGCTGCTGGGAGGCCCCGCCGCCCCGCTGCCCGGAGCCGCCCCCCGGGACGCAGCCCCCGGCCCCGAGGCCTCGGACCTGGTGCCATCCGTGAGCCTGGCCGCGGCCCTGGTGCTGCTCTTCCTGGTATTCTCGGCCTGGCTGGTGTGGGAGCGGCCCCTCCGCGCGTCCGGCTAAGGTGGGCCCCGGGGAGGGGGCGCGAGCCAGGGCGCGGAGGTGGGGGTGCAGGTGGAAGGAGGGGCTGGCCTCCCCCCACCTCTGGGCCAAACCCAGCGGGCAGCCGCTCACAGCAGCCCCCGCAGGACTCGGGGACCCGCGCCGCCCGCCCACGGGAGGGCAGGGTCCCGGCAGCGGCCGCTTGCTGCGGGAGGCGGCCGGGCTGCGGCCTCGTGCCCCGGGGCCTCAGGTGGCGGCTGAGAGGCGGTGCCCGCAGGGCTGAGGGCCCGTGTGCTGGCCCACGTGCTGCCGGAGAAGCCAGGGCCCCGGGCACCGGGGAGCGGCGCTGACGAGCTGGGGAGGGAGCTTCGGCTCCGCGAGGGAGAGAGGGGCCCCGCTCCGCCAGCCAGCTCGGGGGGCCTGGGGGGCCTTGCAGACGCAGAGACCGCCCGGACCGCCAGGACGCGCAGGAGGGCGGAAACGGAGACGCCTCAGCCCAGCCGCTGGTGCTTCCCGGCGGGCAGCCGCGCCGAGGCCAGCACCTCCCGGGAAGGCCCGGCCGCAGCCACAGAGCCACCGGCCTGTCTGCTGTTTTCAGTGGCATCTCTGGGATGTCAGCTGCTCCTCCCGTCCCCGGCCCCCCGGCCCCCTCTGCAGGGCCTCCAGCCCTCGCTGCTGAGCCACCGGTGACAGCTGCCTG